AGGAGCTGTGAAATTGTCTTCACTCCTAGCTATATTCTAGAATATCCTCTTATATTATTAAGAATTAGAAGTGGCGTAATTGTGATAAAAGAGTAACATGACGGTTATGTCTAGAAAAATATGAAAATTTACAAGTGTAAAACCGAAAGTAGTTTTTACTTTCTGTTCAAACATTCAATTCAAATTACAACTGCGTTAACGTTTACATATTACAGAACATGAATAAGTTGTCATGTATCAACTTTTTACTGAATTTACATACCCGTCATGACTGCTGAGTTATTGGAATAATTACCTTTATTGTATTATTACTTAATACTAATTTATTGTAATTTATTGGAATATTACTTTATTGTAAATATCTTACAAGAATTTTTAAAAAATACAAAAAAGGCTTAGAGAACCGATGATTCTATACCGACACTACTAATCGGTGTTGATAATTCGATTCTGAATGGGCAGGGATAGACGAAACGCACTTCTCCATCATAAGTTATGTTTAAGCATTCTTTTCAGTGTCAGAACATTTTATCTTTTCAAAATATTTTTTAGATATTTTTCGATTCTCAGAGAATCTTGGCTCAGGAGAAAAAAAAAAACACATTGGCTTTGTTTTCATCTACAAGCTAGTTAATTGCTACAATAATTTATAAAATACTCTTATGGTGTTTCAAGTGCTCTTGTATATTATATCATCTGGTTGTATTGCTTGCTCTTCTGGTTTTAAATGATCATGCTGTGGTGTGATCTCCATAATAGATGTCAGGTAACAGAATATATTGTTAATTTTTCTAATTAAGCTAGTTATAATCAACTATCCTACCCTCAAGAATCGTCCCAAACATTGCTTCCGTTCATGTGGCAACACATCATTTTTTAATCTTAGGTCAAGTAAATTTGACTAGTCATAACCAATGGTAGTTATTTGCCGTCTTCCTACCGGAAGTGTATGACATGTAATCAACAACTTTGTGGTTACCTTATGATTTCCTATAACGTTCAAAAAAAGAAGGTCCATTCTGAATGAATAAATGAAGTAAACATTATTTATTTTCATAATAACAATGAAAAACAAAACCAAATAAATAAATTTATAAAAAGCTTGGGGTGACTTATCATCATGAATAACTTAAATTAAATATCATCCTTATTTTGTATATAATATTTTTAAAGGAGAAGACAAAATAAGAATGAAATTGTTATAAAAATTATACACCAGTACTTCAAGCCTATTAACTAATTAAGGCAATGTTTATCTTGTGTTAGTGCTTTTTAATCCTCTCTCTCTCTCTTTAAATTGACATTAATCTGTAGGAGGTCTAATGGTTCGAACTAATGGCCAACTTTCCCATGTAAACTCAAACACTCACAATATTCTCCAAAGATTTGTGCACAAATATATCTCTCCTCTCAAGCCATTTACCTCATCTATAAACTATTTCATACATTAACCTCTCCGAAATTCTATACAAACAATTTCAAGTCTATAACTCATTCGCGTAACTTTGATTTTTATCTTGAAACCTAGTTAGTAAGAAGTATTTTAAATATCAATGTAACACTATATTTTTATAATAAAAGTAAATTATAAAAAGTTTACAGCTGTTAAAGTTCATTCTGTGGTTGTTGCTGTAAACAGAGCTCTCGTCATTATCTGCACAATTTGATGATCATGTACCCAAAGAAATAACATTATAAAATTATAATCATCGATTGTTTTTTCTATATCGTTGTATAATAATATAATCAAATCAATTATTGAAAAAAGGAAGGAATTATTTGAGAAAATTCAGTCACAAAATTCATTATTTAATACATTATTATTCAAATTTGAAAATAAAAAACATATTTCAATTTTTTCAATTAATGGTCAATCAGTAATGTTTTCTTTTATGTATCAATATTCTTCAAATTGAATTTAAACATGTTTCAGTTAATGGTGATGTTGAAGAACGACCTTGTGCTGGTGGTAGTGCTTGCTGTTCTGGTCCTGAGTGCTGGTGGCGTGGTGTCCCCCATAATGGCTGCCCTCACTATATTGGTGGGCACCGTGGGCAGTGCTGTAGTGGTGAGAGCTGGGCTCTTGGTGTCCTCCATATAGCGGCAGTCCGTCCTTGGTGACTTTGGCGTTGAAGCCGCTGTGTTGGTCGGCTGTGTAGTGTACCTCTCGGACCGAGCCGTCGGACTCCTTCAGCTTGTAATATCCTTTGACGTAGTCACCATCTCTCGACTCCTCCTGGCTCTTGATATCGTGGGTGTGTGGATCGTGATCGCTGTATTCGAATTTGTATTGGGGATAAGAATTCTATTAAAAAAGTAAGGAAAAATTAGCCTTTTATCTCTTTGTTAAACATTTCAATGTTTTATTAATTAACAACTCACATAATATTCTCCTTCTTTATGATCCCAATGAGAACTTGATAGACAAGAAAGAAATGGCAATAGTTCCGAAGATCAACATTGACTAAAATTATAAATAATATAAATTATAACAATTAATTAAGATTATTATCTGGACTACAGATCTTCACTTAACTTACGAAACAAGAGACTTATCTACAACACCTTACTGAGACCAATATGGACATATGGAGCAGAACTTTGGGGTTCAGCAAAACAAACACACATAAAAAAAATACAAACAGCACAATCAAAAATTTTACGAAAAATTGTTAACGCACCTTGGTACATTTCAAACACTACTTTACATAACGATTTAAACACCCCAACAGTTAAATCCTACATCCACGACAAATACACTACATATCATTCTTCAATCCAAAATCACTCCAATCCTCTGGTTCTTTCTATCTCCTGCTCCCTGTTACCTGAGCAACGAAGATTAAGAAGAAAATGGCCGAGAGACCTACTACATCAATAAAAAAAATCAAGCAATTACACCAAGACAATAAAAATACAACAAATTTGCTAGATGCGCAACTGCGCAGGTGCAAATTGCATAAAATAAAATAAATAAAAATATATGTGTGTGTGTGTGCTAGCTTATAATTTGAATAAATTCCAACCACAGAGCCTTATGTCTCCAAATTGCAGCAAATAATAAAAACAAAAAACGGATGAGCAGCAGAGTTCCGTTACTGAGGCTTTATTTTTCTCTTGTTTTATATTAAGAATTGACTTAATTGTTTCTTTGATGTTAAATAGATAAATAAAAGCTTTGCGAATTATTACCCAATGGCTTAGTATTTTCAAAAATTTATAAATTCAACATGTCCGTACATAAACGACTTTCCTCATCACATAGGAAAAAATTTTTCGCTACCTTTAAGTCGTTAAAAAACAAATTAATAATGTTTTTTTAATAAGCTATGTTGATAATTAGAAAATTTTGTAGACTGAAATCATGACTCTTCGTGTATTTATTATTTACTGGATATTGGAGACATGAATATGTGTGGTTGATATGTTTTCCACTTATAAAATAACATTGAATTTCTATCACTTGGTGAAATTTTTACCCATTTACGTTAATATATAAATATAATTATTATAAATAATTATTTCATGGATAAATAATTTTACCTTGTTGGAGATCATGTTGCCAGGTGACCGAGACGCTGCAAGTGTTGCCTACCCAGGATATTGCGGAGCTATATATAGCGCGGGGGATTTACACTTGAGCAGTCCACAAGTTTGGAAATGGCTAAATATATTTACACATGGCTCTTTCGCAAAGATTAAACTATGCCAGGAACTTCATTAAAGAAGAACAAATTTTTAACAAAATCGTTTCATTAAAATTATTTTTATTTTGACAATAATTAATTTTCCATTGATAGAAAATGTAAAATATTTGTAGCAACTAAAGTCGTTTGGAAATTTCAAATAGCATCCATTCCTACCTCATATTTTTTATAATTTATCGTTTACTCCAAATCTTTAGAACATTAAGTTCTTGTCATTTTATTTTCAAAACGATAAGGCATCTTTAAAGTATATTATATTGTATTAAAATGCCTAACAGCCTGTACCTACCAATTTATCGAATTTAGTCGTAATCAACATAGCTTCCTAATAAATTAAAATACACATTAAAATCTTTGTCGTTTGGAATATTATGAACAATATCGAAGAAAAAATAACTTTTTAAAATTTATTTTGTTTTAATGAAATTTACAACTGTATTACATGAAAAATACAACAAGTAAATGTGACCTTGGTAACATGACATGCACAATATGAAGAGAAACTACCCATTGGGAGAACTCAAATTAAAGTTCTATATTGAAGGTTCTGAGGGTATCGAATAGGAAGGAAAAGTTTGAAACGAGAGGGTTCTGATGGTTCTGGAGTTTATTATAGAAGAATACGTATCTGGGTTGGGCCAAATCGAAAACATATGAAACATTAAGGTCTTAATGGATGATTTTATTTGTGCAAAGTAAGGAGCGTTGAGGATTTTACGAAGGATTTTGGATTGTAAGGATTGAATACGAGAGGAATTCGATGGTTTAGTGGAGCCCCAAAGTTCAATTCCGTAAGTCCAAATAGGTCTTATTATTGTCATATATATATCAGTCGTTTGTAATTGATTGAAAGCTTAGAGCGTTTGCCTAGTAAGTGCTGCAGCAGTCGAAAACGTCGGGCGGTTTCTAGTCGTTTCAGTCTGGTATGAGGGCTCCAAGTGAGTCGTATGTCCAGGTGGAGTCCTAGGTATCGGATTTGTTCGACAGGGATAAGAGTGCTATTGTAGGACAGGAAGTCATAGGTTTACGACGAAGGGTGAAGGTAATTTGATGGGATGAAAAAAAATAACTAACAGAATATATTGGATAGTATATTAAAATTGAGGAAATTTACCCAAAATTGTTGCCATATCCAACATAAGTCATACTACAAAAACATTATATCATTTATTTAATAGGTGGTTATAAATTCAAAAAAAAAATTTCATTGTATAAAGAAAAAATAAAAACTACTTTCACCAATCTATGATAAAAAATTAATCCATATAATTAACCTTAACATAAAAGTTCAATATGTTTTGTGCTGAAAAACACAGTATAGAGTGAATAGTAGTGTTTCCATTAAAGAAAAAATAAAGTAATTTCTTTAGATAAACCAATATATGATAGCTTTAGTTGATTGTATATATCATTGTATTACAAAGAAATTTATCTATATATTTTATTTTGCAAAATATAAATTATTCTATTCAGTTCATAAATAAAATAAATAAATAAGAAGTATTTAGATATGTAATAAAGAATTGTTTCATAAGTCTGTAGATCTTTCAAGTGTAAATCCGGAGAGGTATATATAGGTCTGCTATTCATGGACAGTCACCATTCATTGCATCTAGCTCACCTCGCAACATGATCTCTAACAAGGTAATTCCTTCACATCACACTACTGTTCATAATAACTCGTATAATACAATAAGATTTTTTAACTAATGAGTCTTTTATATATTATATATATCTAATTATTGTTTCTTATTACTTCAGTCGCTCATCCTCCTTGGAGTGTTTATAGTTTCTTTCGTCACAGGTTCCCACTGGGATACCCACGAGGAGGAACATTATGTGAGTAAAATTAGTAATATTTATTTTATAACTATATTTCATTAATTGTAAAAAAACAAAACAAATACAATGTTTCCACAGGACTCCCACCCTCATTACAAGTTCGAATATAGGGTTCACGACCCACACACCCACGACATCAAGAGCCAGGAGGAGTCCAGAGATGGTGACTACGTCAAAGGATATTACAAGCTGAAGGAGTCCGACGGCTCGGTCCGAGAGGTACACTACACAGCCGACAAACACAGAGAGGAAGAACACTATGTGAGTACTTAATCACATTCATCACATAGAACTTATTATTGTCTAGACTAATTGAACACTTCAAAATGTTTTTCCAGGATTCACATCCCCAATACAAGTTCGAATACAGCGTTCACGACCCACACACCCACGACATCAAGAGCCAGGAGGAGTCGAGAGATGGTGACTACGTCAAAGGATATTACAAGCTGAAGGAGTCCGACGGCTCGGTCCGAGAGGTACACTACACAGCCGACCAACACAGCGGCTTCAACGCCAAAGTCACCAAGAACGGACTGCCGCTGTATGGAGGACACCAAGAGCCCAGCTCTCACCACTACAGCACTGCCCACGGTGCCCACCAATATAGTGAGGGCAGGCATTATGGGGGACACCACGCCACCAGCACCCAGAACCAGAACAGCAAGCACTACCACCAGCACAAGGTCGTTCTACACCATCATCACCATTAACTGAAACATGTTTAAGTTCAATTTGAATAATAATGATACGTAAAACAAAAAATTTATGATTGAATATAATTAGAAGCTTTTCTTGTGTTTAGTTCTTTGACACCACATTAATTACTTTGTTTAAATATTTATAAATTACTAGCTCTTACTGGCCACGCTTTGTTGTTGTTCAATCTGACTAAATGGAAAAAAAGCACATATGTTTAATTTTGTGCTGATAATTTCATGTCTAATGAAAATTTAAATGTTCACATACTCAATATCTAACATCTTGGAAGGTTCTACACCGGTTGCTTTGAAATTTCGAATTAACGTTGCGTTATAATAGGCGGATTACTTATGTAACAACTGTTAAAAAAAAATGAGACAAAACTGTATATATATTTATTTTAAACAGTCAGTTGGATGTAATAAGCTGTTTAAAAATGTTTACAATATCATTACAATGTTTCAAATTTCTAAAAAAAAAAATATGGAATTGCGTTGGAATTGAGCTCTATATTGTTTACCACAACGGTAGTTTTGTGTATATTAGAGCTGAATTCAGGAAGCTTTCAAAAGCTCATGGTGTACTTTTTGTGTTTTTCACAAATAAAATTATGAATCTACCGTGATTTTTTCAGCTTCTGTTCGTTGAAGCATTTTACAAAAAGGCTTGTAGGAACAGACTTTGCCCCAGTTTCATTGAAATTACTACAGTCGTTCTGAAGCTACAGACAATTGCGACACACAATTTTCGCCTGCCATTTTGAAACAAAAGGCCTAATGGTAATGAAATGTTCATAAAAACACTTCTGAATTATATTGCAACGTTGTGTTGAAAATTTCAAAGCAATTGATACAGAACTTTTGGGAATTAGTGGTTTAGAACACACGTTAAATACTTTACACACGTACCTTCACTTTATTCAACATTTAATATGAATGTTAATATTTACATTTAATTAATAAGGTAGTTAGCGCTCTATACTAGTAAAGCAAAGATCAAAGGATCGAATCCCAGCCATACTTCCCAATATGGCTGGTCCCCGCGGGAAGTTACACCATAATACCCACTTAATTAAGAGAGACCTACAAGTTGTAAGACTTTCCCGGCAACCGGATATATGAAATGATATCAAAATAGTCATGAGTTCGCGTCCCGGTGCCAAGGTATCTTTTAAATCCCATCTTTTAAGGCCCACACCCCCTGGCCCAGCAAAACCCCGTATAGCCTTAACGGCGAGGAAGGGGAGGACCCCCCCCCCCAAAAAAAAAATACTAAGACTTTTATGAACAGGCTGTAAAATAAATTAATAAAGTAGTTAGAAAAAAATGAAAAGGTTTTATTTATTTCATATAACGTGAATAGTTCATAATAACGAAAATCTTTAGGTTTAAATATCTCCTAAACAAAGCCTTTGCGGTCCATACCTTCAGAGGAAATTCTTTTCTAGTTTTGAGGTCCTTAGTTCATTTTTGCAGTTTGGGCCACTTAATCCTAAAACAGCTTGTATATAGAATTATCGTAGGATTGATGACCTATACCAGGAAACTTTGTTCCAGTGTTATTCAGCATATTATAGTATAATGTAAACAGATTGAAAGAATCAAATTAATGAAGCTGATTATTTAATTAATCGTTTTCACAAGAAGGACTGACTTCGAATCCGTCTCATGGCAATAATCATTATATTTAATATGAATCATACGTTTTTAGTGCCTATTGAGCTGAATACTCATGAATGGTGAATGATTTATAAATAGTGATAAGTGGTTTCCTATAAAGACTTGATAATGTTGCTAAGAGCTCCGATGACAGTTATAGTTTATCGTCCAAGGAACAATTAGCGGCTGTGGAAGACAAGAGCAGAGGCCGGAGGAAGTACCGAGCTGAGTTATTGGCCATAAATTGCGATAAGGACCCGCCTTCTTGTAGAAAGAGATTGCTCCAAGCCCGATCTCACCGCCGCTAATGTATGCTGGGCTTAGGCCAACCAGCTAATTTTCTCTAACGTAGAGTCTAAACACGACATAATTTTGGGCAAGAGATTTTGATTTTTACCCAAGTATGGCGAAGCCAAGCAAAGTAGGCTGCGCTACAGACCCCGTTTATATCAAATCATTAATATCCGCCTAAAATTTCGGGAACGGCTTCGTTTTATTTTATTAAATATTTTTTGGTTTATTATTTTCAATAATCAACCATTGTGACCGACAAAAAAAATCAAAAACTTAACCCCCTCTGAAAATTTGAGGTTTCAAGTTTCAGAATGAGTAGAATTCGAAAAACGAATACAAATTTTTTTGTCCGTCCTCTGTCCGCCGTACGCCCATTTTCTCCGAAACTACTGGACCTTTTTTTTTTCTTTTTTTTTTTTTAAATTTGGACATAAAATCAGAGGTCACACGAGGATGATCCTCGTTCATCGACATTACAATCCACCTTTTACTTTCAAAATGCCGGTCGAAAAACCTGCGTTGCTATAGACTGTAGCTCCTAAACGAATGTACCGATTTCAATGAAACTTCGCGTAAGTAATTTTCTTGACGCTCTTTAAATTTATCTATATAACATAATTCAACGGAATGAAGCTGGAAAAAAAGTTACGTGGGATAGCAAAATTTAATTCCAAATAACTCAAAAAGTATACACTTTTTTGTGGATATTGTGTATAGTTTTCTAAAAATCCACTGAATTTCCTAAAAACAAAAATCGTTAAAATCAGACAATTAGGAGCAAAGATATGGTCTTCAGTTCTTTTTTAATTGTTATATCCTTTGTTTGGTTTTTAAATTTTGACTGTGTTACTGAAGTAATGCTATTTTTTTTTATTCATTAGCATATTACTAATGATTATAAAAAAAATTGTGTCCAATAATTGGAATCACCTTTTATTTATTTTTCTTTGTAACTAGGAAGATAATGTTACATTAGATGTGTAATTGTTTGGAAATAATTTGCAGCGTTTTTTATCTAAAGAAAATTCTCAGAAATGGGACATTTCCTCATTAAATTAATAAATGTAATTACGTAATAAAAACTAAGAACTACTCAATTGCTTTCCACTTAAATCGTAAGATAATTAGATCACAACATCGAAAAAAATAGGTGTCCTACAAAGATATTACGCCGTTTGGCCTATATAACTTTTTGACAAGTTGGGATGGGAATGGAGCTCACGCCAGACGATCTAATATTTTTGTTTAATATAAAAGTAGCCTTATTCTCGTTTTTGTGAGCAAATTATCTTACGATTCAAGTTGAAAGCAAATGAGGGTTCATGAGTTTTTAGTTCCTAATTAAATAGACGAAGTTTGCTGATTTCCAGATTTTAAACGCCACAATTTTGAAAATTATCGTTAGTAAGAAAGTTGTAGGTTGCGATGAGATGAAGCTATTTACGAAGTTTTTGACGGATGTTTATAATTTGATAAAACGTAGTTTGCACTACGGAATGAAGGGTTATATGTTTAGGTTTTCCGCCAAGAGGTATGTAATGACTTATCGAGCGAACGACTGGATCGATTTTTAAGTTTGATGGCTAAAATTATTCGGTGAGATCCTATGAGTGCTTTAAAAATTAAGGTTATGAAAATTAAAATATTGCTATTTATAATAATCTTATATGAACTAAAATATAAAACTAGGAATGACAGTAATATACCTCTAAACTTCAAGGAATTGAGAGGGCTAAATCTCCACTGATTTTAGCTCCAGTGGCGCTGTTGAGAAAGTAGCGCAGGGTTTTCTTGGAATCCTGCTTTTCTCTCTATGGTTATAGAGAGATATGTCTAAATTTCTTTCATCTGATTGTAAATAGTGTATATAGATATATCCGTATTGTTTTGCTTTTTATAACTATCTTTAAGTTTTTTATATTTAATATTTATTATTTTTGATTATTAGTTATATTTTTTGTATATATAGTATGATTATAATCTTACCTCACTATAACCACTGACCATGTGAAAGAATGTTATATTACCCAATAAATATTAAAAAATAATAGTTGGGAGAAATACAATGCAAAGCTGTTAATAGGTCTTGAGCGAGTACATTAATGTATTAATACATTCAGTTTATATATGTGTTTTAATTATTTTATTATCATTCGGCTTTAATCTGTTATTTTACTTATCTTGTATATTACTTAATCTTTTTATTTATTTATATATATATATATATATATATATATATATATATATATATATCATTTTCTTTTATTTTTTTTGTCCACTTGCTTGGTTATTTTTATTTATTTTCCTTTCTTATGTACATATTGTGTGAATGAATACTATAGCACTAGTACCAATACCCTTAAGTGTGGCAGACTGTTTTAATACTCAATAAAATAATTTAAAAAAAGTTTATATATACAATAACTTCAGAGATACAATTAGTTAAGCTTTATTATAAGTACGGAGTTGATGTATATTATGAGAAATGTGGAAAAAAATAAAACCCATATGGGAAAATTTGAATCGATTTAAGAAATAAATTAATATTTTTTTAATGACCGCAATAAATGTTTTAACAGTAGTTATTTTAATAGGATAAAGTTTCCTTTATGAGCGTAACAGATTCGCGAACATAAAATATTTATGAAATTAATCCGAAATCGCTACCCCCTATTTTTTTTTTTTTTTTTTTTAAGAAACCAGTTGAAAAAGATAAAGGCTAACCCAAGTGTTCCATCCCAACCACAAAGCATTTAGACGTAAGGCTTATCATTACAGTTTGTTTTGGAATTGCCTAATTTACATTATATTAAGGCTTCTCAGGCGATTTTATGTCTCCCCTTGGTGACTTTTTTTTTTTTCTCTTTTTTTCAAATGCTACTTTTTTTGCTTCATTTTGTTTTTAACAATATGTTTCGTTTTGTATGTGTCATTATGTATTACACTGAGTTAATCATTACTATTCATATTTAAAGGTAAAAAAATAAAAACAATTAAAGTAATAAAGTTGAAAACATGAACATTAAATATAATTGTAAAGAAATGTTTCTGCGATTTTT